TGCATTTTCATAAGAACAGATATCTGGTTACTTGTGTTAAGGAATTGTTTCACAGATTTCATTTCGTGCAAAGGAGCAGAACATAAACATAAGTCAGCAACAACACAATATCTTTATAAATTCATACTTGATGAAGGTAAAATGTAACATTCGAAAGTAATTTAAATGTTTCCATACATGAAAATTGTATATGAAAGTATTACAACTTTATAAAAAAAAGTCAAAGTAAGAGCTGCGGGATTTCATTTTTAAATAGCACTTTTAGGGCTCAAAATTAGGCTATGCGCAGAATTCACAGTAAAGTCCATGTTCCAACTGCTCGGATTAATCTAAATTTGCAAAAATGCGCAGACAGATTTGAGCAAAAAATTATTGTCGTCTGGGGCTTCTATTTTTATAGGGGTAGGTAAGCCAACATTGACTATAAAAACTAACCGTAAAAAGAGTTACACAGCACAAAATTTGCATCGAATTGTGTTTGGTTTTATTGTATTTGTAGCCTTCTATCAGCTAGGGATATAAGCATTTGTCTCCCGATCAGGAGAAATAAACGATATTTCTTCTGATTGGGAATCATTTCTCCCGATCGGGAGAAGTTTCAATTAAATGTCTCCCGATCGAGAGAAGAAATCATACCCACTTTTTCTCCCGATCGGGAGAAAGTATCGCTTTTTGGACAAAAATGCATGAAGGGACTTCTGGCGGGAATTTTAAACATCATTTTTGAAATCTACACCGTCAAATACATATATATCCATGAAGAAAATGGTAGGTCACCGTTGAAAATCGTTCAGAATTTGCATTTGAAGTTTTAGTGACGTCATACTCTATTGTTATAGGTTTTGTTCTAGGAAAGAAAAGGTTCAGGTGATGTCTATATTCTGGCAATCTAATGTTTTATTTTAACTTCGAGATATTTTTAGGGGTCATACAAAAATTACAGCACCTAAAATTTATGGATTTTCGACACCCAATCCCCCAGTCACCACCTTGTTACCAGCTTTCTGATCCCTTTCGGACTCTTAGATTAGGAAGACAATCGAGACAGACTTTCGGCAAAACAATTGTCATTTGACAAATAACTATATTGTAAATTTTTACTAAAATTAATGCGTAACTTAATATCTAGCATAATTTCATCATAAACTATATATTTATTGTATGCATTATAGTCGGACGTATTGTTATTCATTGCGTTTCTACGTATGATCATTCTAAAGTTGCGATGAAACTGCAATTTATTTGCGCTTACATTATTTGGGCTTGATAGATCCCAAATCTTGATGATCAATTCTCTTGTGACAAAAGCTGAGGGGCAGTTCACTCCATGAAAATCTTATATCCTGGAGATCCGTTTGTTTTCGTGGAAATCTCGTACACCTTTTTCAAGAGTTAATTGCCCCTCGACAAAGACAGTTACGAGAAAGTTAAAAAAGCAGCAGTTTTTCATATAGACATCTGGTCAAATAGTAGGGTGACTGTTCTGCCAGTAATAGGGACACCCTGGCACATAGCTCCCCCCGTAGACATCATGTTATGATGGGGACTGAAAAGTTTATATTTGGGGAAGGGGAAAAACTGAAGCCAAATCCAAAAAGATCTTGTTGAGGTTTGAGGTACATTTCTGGAAGCTTATTTGAAAGGTCTCCTCTCAGCCCTTCCCCTTCCACTTCCACGGGCCCCGTCCTGCTTTGTCAACAACAGCACTGGGGGCCCCTCCTGCTCATTGCTTCTTTTAGATTGATATTTGCCCGTATAAAGAGAGCTTTGATAGCTGGAAAGAAGATAAACGCTGGGCTGTAATCTTAACTTTGCTTACATTGCTCATTCTTGTGGGTCCTGTGACAGTCACATTTGGAAAACATGTTACAGTCACATTTGATTTGGTGGTAATAATCTTAAATGCAAATATTAATCACTTTGCTTCAGCAACGTTTGAGCTCAATAATAAGAAAAAACAACTTAACAACACCAACAGAAAAACAACACTTACTTAATAGATACATTCAAACCAACGGTCACGTGGGTTATGTTCAATTAGAAAATATACGGCAACACATTCAGTACAGTTTCGAAGTAAATTAGTCACTATTCTAGTTTACTATTCTAATCTTTTCTGTTATACACTTTTTCAGAAGCTACAATTTTTTTTGCCTACTGTATGAAAATATAAATGTTTATTGCAAGTGGCTATGATTTTAAAGGTAATGTTTAAATCTAGCAAAACTGAAAAACTACATGCTATAAGACGCATGTGATAACATTTGAACGACCCCTATTTTTTGCTATTGGACTAAAAAATTAAAGATTTAAGAATACTGAACGCAATACGAGGGGATATTGTTGGCTATTCATCACTTTGAACCTTGCACACGCGAACTCAATCTTTAGCCACTGATATCTTTGGCACTTTTATTGAAGGACGATCTGCAGGACTTTTGAGGAACTCGCTTAAAATTTCCATTGTAAGTCAGTTGCTTCAGAGGTAAAATTCACAAGAATAGGATTTAAGCCATGGCCTTCAAGGCTACAGATTTCAACATCTATGAGCGGCTCAGTAAGGTAACTCTTTAAACGAAAAAGTTGCCTGATTTTCGCCACATCTCCGATGTTAATTGACGATTTGGCATAACCTTTACATGACACTCCTGACTTTTCTAATAAATTTTCTCTCACCTAAAAGATACAATTATTCTCAGGCAGGTGAGCTGGAAAGTATTTTTAACGGAGAAATTCAAATAACATTCCGTTATAAAACAAGTGCAAAAGGAAAAACAAAAGTACTTCAGTATGACACTTCAACAAAGCTCAATAGCCTTGATCAAGCCTTGAAATCACAACAACTTCGAAATCGTCCCAAACCTGATGTCAGCAGCATATTGAGCAATTTTCAGACCCCTACAAAAAAGAGGACCCTTAGTAACACACAGTTGGTATCTTCTGCACCACAAATCATAAACCTGCCAAGGTCCAGTAAAAAGAAGGAACTGGTAGTATCCAAAACACCGTTTAGCCCAAATATCAACAGGTGTAAGGTGGTGTTTGAAAGTGAAGAGGATTTGGCACTTAAGTAGGGAAAGCTCAATATAGATGGATTGGGTGCAACGTGAAAAAGTGCGAGTACTGGGGCAATGCGGGATGTCTGATGCCTTTTCAAGAAGGAAACAATCAGCGAAAACTCAAAATTATTCCTTTTAAATGCTCTGAGCATAAATAAGCAAAGTATGCCAGAGGAAAAATATTCCCAAGACCCCCCTCACATGAACAATTTCAGGCCGGTCTGAAACTCAGATTAGCTTGGAATTTGATGGTGCGTGCTAATTTGACTCCCCCTCACATGAACATTTTCCAACCGGCTTGAAATTCAACAGGCTTTCGCACATCCGCATTTATTGCCAATTCAGTTCAAAACAAACATGGCGCAAAATAATTCATATTTTATATCAGTATTGAAATAGATTTTGGTTGTTTTAGTCTCTGCTTTACAACTTCTTTTTTTTTGCTTCCGCAACTTATTTCCCAAATAAGCCATCTTCATCAGAAAATTGTTCCTGCTAAAGAAGAAAAAGTCGTGTTTTGTGCAGATACTGAGAGTGTTAGAATCAATTCAATGGTCAAATGGCACCAAAATCATTAAGCATGCATCCCAGAGAGCAATTTATTTTTCTCCACGAGTTTCATTTCGCCCCGATTTGATATTGTTTTCTGCACACTTGCGGATTTCAAGTCGACCTGAAATTTCAGACCGACATGAACAACCGAAATGAACTCAGGTCGACCTGATTTTCATTTTGCCCTCTCTCTGTTGGAATGTACCCCCTGATCTGCAGTCACGTGTTATGCAGGTAATAAAAACAGCGCGTTGCACATAATTCGATACCGGAGACTGTGATCGAGATAGAGACTAGGTTGTAGTTTTTATGGCTAAATAAATTGCTGTTCGTTTTGTTATGTTTTTATAAATAATTCAAAAAATGCAAACAATTGCTTTTTTGCATCTCTGCCTACTTTACAACACATTGGCGCCCAACGTGGGGCTAGAGAGGCAAACTAGGTCGAATCAACGATAGATACAGAGATGTACAGTGGAGACGAGCAGCAATCCGAACCGAACGAGGATGAAAGCCTACAACGCCTAAAGAAGATACGAGGTGGAAATCGATCCAAAACAACAAAGTTAATCAACGAAGCCCACGAAATTATTCAACGTTACCCAAGAACAGAGGAAATTGACCCCGAAATTAGGAATAAACTTGAAATAAAGGTACAATCGATCAAGGAAAAGAGAGACTACCTAACGCAACTAGACAACAAAATAATTTAAAAATGCTGTTTGGACGAAATAGATCGTGAGGTAGACCAATCAACGGACATTTGTACACGAATCGACGAAAGTATTGCAAAAGTAAGGAACTACCTCAATACGCATGGAAATTCAGTGGAGAGAAGAACAACATCCCAATCTCCAGATATCGCAGTACGCCCTCCGCCAACAATTTCTACGCCACCTCGACAACCGACTCAACAAGTTAGCGAATCTCCGGTTTCGCAACGTTCAACAAGCAATGGTAGAAGCCAAGGTGTTAGATTACCAAAAATCACCTTACCGCGATTCAACGGAAACATCACAAAATTCAACAATTTTGGCAGAGTTTTTGTTGTGCAGTCGACGAAAGTGAAGACCTTTCGGAAGTACACAAATTGAATTATTTAGTAAACTCGCTGGAAGGTCAGGCTTATAAGGCACTGGAAGGACTACAAATCTGTGAAGAGAACTATGAAAAGGCCAAAGTTCTTCTAAAAGAAAGATTTGGAAAGAAACAAGGTATAATCAGTGCTCACATGCAAGCATTGTTAAAGTTGCAATCATGCGAAAATGAAAAGATCACAGACCTCCGCGTAATATATGACACGATCATGGTTCACATACGTGGTTTAGAAAGTCTTGGTATGTCATCAGACAAGTAGGAAGTCTTTTGATTCCTGTTATCATATCTAGAATGCCAGAAGATATTGCCCTCCAAGTAACGCGACAAACCTCAAAGGATGTATGGAGTGTCAATGAAATCATGACCACCATTCAACAAGAGATCGAAGCAAGAGAGGTTAGCAAAAAAATGATTGGGACAGAGAAAAGAAGAAATGCTTCGAAACAACAGCCTTATGTACCACCAATAAGCACTACCAAATCCTTTGTGGCCAGGTTAGAGAGTCCCTCGAAGAATAAGAAGTCAATTAGATGTTACTTCTGTGGTAAAAGCCATTTTTCAAACGAGTGCAAGGAGGTGACAGACTTCAGACAACGCAAGGCGATTTTGCAAGTGGCGAAACGATGCTTCAAGTGTTTGCGAGTTGGACATGTATCAAAGGACTGCAGTTTCAACCAAAAATGCTTTAATTGCAACGGCAATCATAACTCAGCCCTTTGCAACAAGGATGAACAAGAGCTCAGACAAGATTCATCTGTGGCGATGTCAAATGTCAAAGAAAAGACGAATGTTATGCTCCAGACTGCAACCGCAATTGCCTATGGTGAAGATAGAAGCAAGAAGGTAACTGTTAGTATATTATTCGATAATGGTAGTCAGAAATCGTTCATTTCTGAAGAGCTTAAACGTAAATTAGAGTTGAAATCTGAGAATACGGAAATTCTTAACCTTAATACATTTGGTTCTGAGAGATATATTAAGAAATCCAGCGATAGGGTTAAGGTTAATATAGTAGTACAAGACGAGGTTGTAACTGTTTCAGCATTAACATCCCCTGCAGTCTGTTCCCCCTTAAACACTAGAGTAGATGTAAGTCATTACCCTCATTTGAATGGTTTAGCTCCGGCTGACAGCGTGGATGTGAGCAACAAGCATATAGATATTCTCATGGGCGCAGATCACTATTTCGACATTGTAATAGGCGAGGTTATTAAGGGTAGCGCAGGACCAGTGGCGATTAGTAGCAAGCTTGGTTGGCTGCTTTCAGGCCCTCTATCCTTTTCAAATGATAAAGCATTTGAAGTATGAAGTAGTAATAACGTTATCAAATCTAATTTGGTTTTAGATGTTATACCTAGCAGGGAAGAAATAGTAGATGAATCTCGTGAAATAGTAGAGTCGCTAGATCGTTTTTGGAAACATGAGTCTATGGGAATTGCTAATGATGAACAACCGGGAAAGTGTGCACCGACAGAAATTATGTTTAAGGAAAATCAACGTTATGAAGTAGGCCTTCCTTGGAAGGATAATATTGATAACGAATTAGAAACGAATTACGATCTGAGTAAAGGCAACTTTTGTCACTTTATAACAAATTGAAGGTGAATCCTAAGTAATTTAAACAGTACAACGAGGTATTTGAACAGCAATTGTCCGATGGTATTATTGAGAAAGTAAACGAGTGTGCCTATGAAGACAGTAACGCCCATTTTTTATGTCACTTCGGGGTAGTTAGAAATGAAAGGCAGACTACTAAATTGCGCATAGTGTTCGATGGTTCCGCAAGGTCTAGCACTTCATTATCGCTTAATGATCGATTAGATTCGGGTGTCAACCACATGTCGCTTTTATTTCATACAATTATCCGTTTTATGATGCACCCTGTGGTGCTCACAGCAGATATTGAGAAAGCTTTTCTCCAAGTGCAAATTAAAGAGTCCGATCGCAACGTTTTGAGGTTCCTATGGTTCGATGATATGGAGAGTGAAAACCCCTACATAGTTCAATACCGGTATTGTAGGTTGGTTTTTGGTTTGACCTGCAGCCCTTCAATTTCATGCGAGACCATAAAACTACACGTGTCACAATTTGAGTCTCAGTATCCTCAAACTGTTAAACATTTAAGAAATCTCTATTGTGACGATTTTCTATGTTGTGCCAGTTCTACGGAGGAAGCATTGATGATATACGAACAAGCTAAGGAAATCAGGGCTTCAGGGGCTTTTAATCTGCGAAAGTGGAACAGTTATGATAATAATGTTTCACAGGAAATAAGCCAGCTCGAAAATAGTAAGGTTTTATGTGGTAATGATAAAGTAGTTGAAGATGACCAAATATATTCCTAATACGTTAATGGGGCAGTAAAATCGGACGATCAACTTAAGGTTTTAGGGGTAGGGTGGGATAACAGCGCAAATTATTGAAAAGTACTATTGTGCTGGGTAAAGAATTGTAAACCATGGGTCCAGTACGTGCGTAGTAGAGTTAATGAAATTTTACAACATTCAATTAGAGAAGAATGGTTTTATTGCCCAGGTCCCCTCAACCCCGCTGATCTGCCTTCTCGTGGTAAGTATCGTGATATTGAGTCAAACTCTTTGTGGTGGGAAGGTCCTGAATTCCTCAACTCACAACCCCATGGATGGCCTAAATCTCCATGTGCGAATGACCTTGAAACAGAAATTGCAATGAAGGAAAGGGTAAAATCTGATCCACAAATAACGCACAGTATGGTAATCACAAGTAATAAGCCGACAACGAGTGTTGATAAAACTGTAGTAATGGAACGGTTTAGTCAAAAGGATAAGTTATTAAGATGTGTTGGCTGGGTGTTAAGATTTGTTTCCAATTGCAAGGCGTCCGTTAAAAATTCGAATTTGAATTTTGAACAAAATTTGACAGTCTCTGAAGTAGTAAGAGCCGAGACAATGTTGATTCAATCCATCCAAAAAGAAGCCTTTGCTAATGATCTTCATTATTTATCTCAAACGGAATCGATTAGAAAGACGATGAAACTCCTCTTTATGTTAAACAGTTCAATTTACATCTGGATGAACATAATATAGTTCGTTGTAGGTCACGCATCGGGCATTCCGTGGTTCCGGACACGGGTAAACGGCTGATACTTTTGCCGGCCAAACATAGGTACACCGAATTGATAATTTCAGATTCACACGAAAAGGTATTTCATAATGGCACTGTTGATACCTTGAGTTTGATAAGGCAACAGTATTGGATACTCCGGGGGAGAGAGCAAGTAAAGCGAAGTCTTCGTCATTATATTGTTTGTAAGAAAATTGAGTGGTTACCGTTCAAGACAGTTTATAACCCAGATCACCCAGATTACCAAGGATGCGTGGAGACAAAGCACCCCCATTTTCTCACGTAGGTATAGATTTCGCGGGCCCCTTGTTTTTGGTAGGTAAAGAAAAAGGTGTAGTCGTAAAAACCTATTTATGTTTATTTACGTGCGGCTCTACCCGAGCTGTTCACCTAGAAATGGTAAAGTCTTTATCGGTAGAAAATTTCATACAGGCATTTCGACGTTTTTGTGCGCGTCGAGGATTACCGGCCACAATAATAACGGACAATGCTAAAACATTTAGGTCGGCTTCTATG